ATTTTCTGATTTGCAGAAACAGCCCCATAAAACTACATAACAGCTTCAGATGGATTTTCTACCTTCCCTCAAGGCCAAAGAGCAGATTTGCGCACTCTCTCTCACTGTTCTCTCTTCTATTTTCCACACCTCCATTACCTTGTCTGGTGCTCCATGTACTCTGCCACCAAATGGCTAGAGAATTAGTAGAAGCAAGCAGCTGTTGCTTGAAAGAGGAAATACACGGAAAGGGAGAATCCACTTCAGTGCAGTAATCCACTTAGTTTTATTGGAGGCTCATAATGTGAATTTATGTCTCATCCATTTGAATAGAAAGTTACTGAACTTCAGAAAAGACAATTATTCACAGACAACAGAAGAGAGGGTCAGGTATCTCTTTAAAAACTAGTGGTTTTTTGGTTTATGAAGCCAGGGATAAGGAAACTCATACGTAGACTGTCCAAATACAGCCACAGCTTTAGGGAGATAGAGCCAGGGCCCAGTACTGTACTTTCAGCTTTCTTCAGCAAATGCTATGCTTCCTTTAAAAATGTCTTCCTGCTCCTCATAAAACATCACTTTGTCAACAGAAAAGCTCTCCTCTGAAGTTTTATGAGACCTTTTTATTAACAGAATAATAATTCTTTCTGCCGTTATTCAACCAGGCTGTCACTTTTAGGCTAGGATTTCTGTGAAAACCTGAAAAAGGGGTGATTGCCTGGTTTCCAAGGGAGGCCAATTCCTGAGGGCCATGGTGAGAGCCTAGCTTTCTACTGCACCTCCAACATGTGCAGATTTGGTTAAGCTGTGCTGATTATCACTTGCCGCATCTCTCATTACTTTTCTTACTCATTCTGCTATCACTTGTTACATATGCAAATGAGCACACAAAACACAGAAATTAACAGTGTGTATTTATATACTCTTCACTTAAATGCCACAAACTGCCCCTTTCCAAGTCCTATGTAACTTCCTATGGATTTGCATCCTCTGCCCCGTCCCCCCATTGCAATCTGTCTCCGTTCCCCCCTGCCAGCCCTTCTCCCAGAACCCTCTGGGAGACCTCACGGCAGTGCTGCTGTCATGTCCCTGTGTGTCGTACCTGCGGCATGTGTGCGTGCTGTCCCGCTGGTGGCTGCCAACCCTGGCACAGTATGGCTCAGCTTTGTCTGCCCCCTCTGGCCTCCACTCAGCCAGCTACTTTTAGGAAACTTACAGAAACTCAATTATCTCTGGGACTCCTAACATGCTGTCAAAATTTGTTTTAAAATCAGCCAATATTTTCAAAAGTGCTCAAGGTTTGAAAAGCCCAACTGCATAATCCTCACTTCTTTAGGAAAACAAGTTAAAAAAGCAGGAACATAATTAGAACGCTTCCATCTGAAGGTAAAAGGACCAAGTACCTTCATAGGTTTTAGGCAAAAAAACCCCCACAATAAACACAAAAAAGCCAAAAACACAAACCAAAGAACCCCGAAAGCAAACAAATGAAAATTTCTAAATAGCTTTGAAAATACAGTAGTAGCTATTAAAACAGCATTGCACACAGAACTGAAAAATAAGCATATTTCAGCGGCTGGATCAGAGGCTGATGTCCTGCTCATTGGAAATATTCCTTCACTAGCCAGAAACTTTGTTTTGTTACTATAGTTACTCTCACTACAAGTGGCCCTGACTAAGGCATGAGGTATTTGTTACATAAAACCTCGACGCAACTGTAGCCTTAAACTTCAGAAAGTACCAGCTCTGTGCTCTGTGCCGCTTGCAAATTCTATTCCAAGCTCAAACTCAAGATGCTTTCATGCCAATTAGGGCATACTCTTGAGCAACGGTTTAATGGTACTATTTAAGTGCTGAAAACATAACCCACATTGTTCACAATATATACTAAAACAGTGAAGGAATTTAGATGGACTGTGCACTGAGCAAGATGAGCAGAGACTTCATCCCCAGACAGTTACACTGTCAGCAGTGGCTGTCACGTACAAGAGAAACTAACAATCGAGTTTAATAAGACTTGCTGAGAGGCTGTTGAATTTGATGGAAAAAATGCATGTAGACAATTAGAAAACACATATCCTGCAGCACTGTGATTTTCTGTTTTGTTACACTTTTATCAGCTTAGTTTGATAAAATTTAACATCAGTAAGGAAAAAATAAATATCTTCCCTTTCTTGGCCTTTACTGCATTTTGGTTTCACAGATTTTTTTTGTGTGTTCTTCTGGGGGATATTTTCAGCCAAACTGCTATTATGCATAATCTTGGAAAAGTGGCTTATGAGATCCCCAGTGAAAACAGGGAGATGACAGGACCTCACTTTTTAAGGTAGTCATCTGATGCCGATACTCCAGTGCTATGTGCCAGTCTGATTCAGGTCATCTGCACTGTTCGGAGCTGTATTTTTTTCCCTACTTGGGTAAGGTAAAGCAGTGTAGCTTCCATCCTCTTCATCTTGAAATCTAGACACTAAGCCTCTTCCTAAAAGGCCAACAGCCCAAACAGAACCTGCTCACAAGTGAAGATGAGCACAAGTGCCAAGGTCAGAAAACACAGCTGTTTGTACACTTGTTTTCTTGCACAAAGCATCACTCAAGCTGGGGGCAAGCCAGTGATGAGGGATTTTTCTACTACAGTGCTGATACAGGGCTATTAGTTAACTTCTGAAATGGTAGATGTAGCCATTTACGCTACATAGCTTAAGCTTTACACAATTTGAATGCTAAAGAAGACTGGAATGGTATCTTCCTCTTTCCTTCATCTTCCCTTCCTCCCTTGGTGCTGACACCCTGTACTGTTCTTAGCATGCAGAAATCAGTGGTGTTAATTTCTGTGTTCACACATCAGAGGAAGCATTTAGAATTTCTTCATTCATTTGTGAGAACCTGTATATGGCTTTGTCCTTAATGATAGAGAAACTTTTTTTTTTTAAGCTGTGACATTATTTGCAACCAGTCTTACAGCTTATTACAAACCCATAAGTGCTGAAGAGCAAATCTACCCTACCCTGTAAGAAACATGATTTCCTAAAGGTGCTGTTTGGACACAGAATGCCTTCATCGGTTCTTCCCTGTAATAACAGTGCTCACAGTGACACCTAAACCCATGATTTTTGTCTCTCCCATGTCTTGCAACTAATCCCAGACTAATGGCCTAATCTATCTAGGCAAATAATGAGTACCTGCTGGAACACAATTTGTGAGTGTTGCTTCTAGCTTTTTAGGGCACTGCAACTTTACACTGTACCATTGCTTATCCTGTGTTAGAGAAAAAAACTCTTGTTCAGCTACAATATTGCTTACACCCAGAACTGCCAGATTCAGGACACATATTGCTATGCCTTGTAAAATGAGACACTGCCTCTGCCACATGCAGGGGCCAATTACATGAGATCAGAAGTAGATATTGCCATATCTAAAAGACAGTTTTTGCATCAGAAGTTTGCAGGTGGTCTAGGAGGAGACATGAGCAAAGTCTAAATTGCTAACTGATGCACATCCAATGAAAAAAACACACTGCAAGGATTAAGTACGTTCTGAGCTGGTAAGGCATCTGAAGAAGTTATTTAATTCTTTTAAGACAGTTTGACCTCTAGAATACCAAAGATCTGTATAAGAATTCTCCATGTGCTTTCCAATGTTACTATCACAGCTAATGAGCTGAATAAAATACCCCTGCAGCAGCTTATTTAGATACTATCCTTCACAATATCATCATAGGGCTTCAGAAGTTCAATGTTTTGTTTCTACATCCCCCAAAAATATAAATTAGAAGGTTAAGTCTTAAGTCAAGCTTGCTTCATCCTCTTCCTTTCTATCTATATCAGTCAATCCTTTTTAAAACAACAAGGGTTGGATTCAGATGCATTTTGCTTCTGCAATTTTACTTTTTTTAAATTATTAAGGAATGTAAGGGGGCTTTGCTCAAAAGTAGTCTTACATATGTGTGCCAAAACATGGCTACCAAAACTAAGTAGCACACACTATCTGGGGTGGCACAGAGAGAAAAGAAGTAACACCAAAGACCCTAGGCTTTCAGATGCAGGTTTTCCTGCCCTGCAAAACCACAGATAGTGCACACTACACGCACAATTTGACGTCATTACCCTAAAGGATCTCCCTTGCTCTTCCCCAGGGACATTTTGCACAGGACTATGCCCCTGCTATGCAAACCCGTGACATTTGCAGGTGGCCAGGGCAGCAGCAGGCAATTGCTGGTTGCCACTGAGAAAGAAGCAACATAATCCCAAAGTTGCTGGTAGAGCCGGCTTCAACCCCTATTATATTTGAAAAACATCTAGTGTGAAAGAGTGCATATATATTGAATTTTTTTTTTTAAAGTGGACTTGAAAAATAAAACCTTTTTCCAGTTGGCATTTCCAAACTGACAGTGTGCAGCCTGTTGATTAAGATGTGACATAGTTTATACCCCTGACAATGAAGGAGACTCCAAGCATTTCCATCTGCTTTTAACACTACAGCAATAAACAAAAAAATGTACTATCCAGTTTAGTTTCAGAAGAATGTTTTTGATTGAAAGAGAATTCAGTATATGTATCACGACTCCTACACACAATTGTATAAGAAAAACAATTAACTCCCAACTTGTGCACAGCTGTGAACAAGTCTTTCTACAGAACGACACTATAGCAGTGGCTGAGAGAGGCAGAAGTCTCTGTGCTCCCCCTCTCAGGAGCCATTCCTTCTGGAGGTGTAGGAAGAGCACAGATTAAAGCAATCCCTGGTAGATTAAAAATCCCCCAAGTGTGAGATCAGCACAGCTGTCTGGCAATGGCATGAACTACCCCAAATGAACACTATCCCCACGCTGCTTACCAGTGGTTTCCTGAAGGTGCACATTACTGGTAGCTTTGTTTTGTTTTAACACAGTACATCTAAGCCTTGGGGACTGCTCTGTGCATTAGCACGTGCTTGCTCTGCGCAGGTCAGGAAAAATCTCTGACCCTTTTGCTCTGAGTCTCTGTCTGCTACCTAGCATTAGTAACCACTGCTACTTTACCCACCTTGCTGGCAGTTGCTGCAGCTTGATACATTCAGGATAGTTGATGCCTAGCAGAAGAGCTGCTGCGCAGTTCAAGGCAGCCATGGGGTCCACAAGGCTCAAGAGCGCGAGTGCAAACAGCTGGGCAGCTCACCCACACGGATCCACATCTCTATGGAGATGCTGTCAGCAGCAGCCCAAGGAGCTGGGCTGAAGCCAGCCCAGCCACATCCCTGAGAGAAGCAGCCCCAGCAGGGTGGACACACCCATGTCAACTGGTGCTCCTTTGTATGCAACAGCTGTTTCTCTCTCCTAGCAGCCAGCATCTATCAGTTCTGCATCCTTATTTGGCAGGGAGCACCATGCCTGCCAGCGGGGCTGCAGCCCCTGGCACACACACCTGAGGGTGGGCAGATGCCACACATTCCTCTCGTCAAGTGCCATTTTTGCAACACTGCTTCACAGTGGCCTGTCCAAGCACCTCCACTGTCTGGGGAGGGCTGGAGAAGACTCAAAGATGATTCTCATGCCTGTATTGTATCATGTTGAGTTACGTCATTCCTACTTTGCTATATTGCACACTTAAACATTACTGAATTAAGCCAATTTTTTTTCTTTTTCCCCCTAACACAGCAAATGTTTGAAGAATTAGACAAAATGACTGGTTGCTGAAACTTGTGGGGAAGGAGGCATGGCTTCCTCCTTCACTCAGTAGCACAGCTCCTTGCAGCTCCCTTGCCTGCTGGCCATCTCTCCTGTTCATTACATGGACACCAGTGGCATGATATAATTCTCAGCTGGGTTCAGAGCCCCACTGTGCTACATACCCTACCAGCAACAGAAAGACATTGACCTTGTTCTGAGAAAATACAAGAACAACTACTGAATAACCTCAAGTCATTGCAAACACTCAGAGTGTACATGCAAATGGCCAGAATCCGGGGTGGGGGGCAGGGGGGGAAGACATCCAGGAGCCTTTTCAAATCACAGTGCTACTGCTTACTGGTACAATCTTTATTTGAGGTGCCAGTTATCAATCTCCTGCCACTTCTTCAACTGACGGAGACAGAATCAAATCACACAATCACAGAATGGATTGGGTTGGAAGGGACCTTAAAGATCATCTAGTTCCAACCCCCCTGCCATGGGCAGGGACACCCTCCACTAGACCAGGTTGCTCAAAGCCTCATCCAGCCTGGCCTTGAACACCTCCAGGGACACCACAACTTCTCTGGGCAACCTGTTCCAGTGCCTCACCATAAAAAAATTCTTCCTAATATCTAATCTAATCTACCCTCTTTCAGTTTAGAACCATTACCTCTTGTTCCAGCTCTACCCTCCCTGATAAAGAGTGCCCCCCAATCTTACCTGTAGGCAACATATGGAATAGAGGCCACTCCATTCATTTCCCAACCTGCTAGATCTCCAGCAGTTCAAACTTCCAGCCACAGCGCTCAGAAACACAATTCTACATCATACTTATGTACTTCTGGGTTGAATTTTCTGTTGGTGTATGTAGGAAGAACTCTGCTAATGACTATGACACTTGATGAGACTATTTAGCTCTCCATTCTCATGTTCATCCCTCCTTCTAAAATACAGTCTTATGACAAACTTACTGCTGAACTATATACATAAAGCTTCAAGACAAAGTAAAATGAATAAAGGAAATAGTAAAATGATTAATACTATCTGTTTTGTGTTGTATAAATGTTGTATATTGAGAAATGTCGGAACACTTTTAAAGACATGTTGGTAACACAGAACTTCTACGTTACAGTCTCTCTCTCGATTATAGAACCTCCATTCATCATTCTTCTTCCTTTACTAACAGAGACTAAAATATTAAGTAACATGAATACTGACTAATAACAAACAGTGCAACTGTGCCTGCTTCCATACTTGGTTCTGCAGATACTAATGACAATGGCAACAGAAGTAGACTTAGCATCTAAAATGCAATTATTACCAGTGTTTCCGGAAGAGTCAAGAGTAAGGGCTTTCTGTGTTTTCACAGGGTAAAAACCACATTCATGGCTAGAAAAACCATACTCAGCTTCTGTTCCCTGGCGAGTTCTTCAGAAAGCCTGAATATATTCCCCTCTCTTATTTTTGAAGAAGGAAATAATAAAAATCAAAACATTTTGTGCTCTTCTCGTTAAATAAATACTCCTAGGACCTTAAGAGTAGAAGTCACTGAAGTCTGAAATTTCCAGCTGGAGATGAAAAAAGCCAACTGCTTCACTGAGCGATCAGACCATTATACTCATTTGAGAGACAACATGGCCTGACCACAATGCCAACTTCTTGGAAAGTCTGTACTGCACCGAAAAACAACTAAGCATAACATCCATGCCTCTCCGTACTCCAGGCCCTGTGTTATCCAGCAATGATTATCAGCAGTAATTCTCAGTGAATGCTAACAAAGATGATAGCCTTCATTCTGAAAAATAAACTGCCAATCAAAAACAAAGACTTTTGATTTCAGTAAAGCATTTGACACAG